GGGTAAATAGGAATAATTTAATTGTATCATGCAAAATCTAAAAATCTAATTTACTGTATTTAAAAATCTTTATAACAGACGAAGAATGAACATCTTGAAATCACAGATATTTCATACTTTCTAATTTGTGATCTTATTGGCGATATCATAGATATTTTTGAAATAAATCGTAAAGAATGCACCAAATATCTAAAAGATATTGCATATAGCTTTGCACCTGGTACATTTATTAATAAAGATACTACTCACACAAAAAATTCAGAAGATAGCACTGAAATTAAAATAGGGACAGAAGATACTGCTCAAAAAATTTTGGAAAATGACACAACTGCTAATGTTTCTAATTTAAACAAAAATATAAAGTGCTTCCAACTAGAACAAATGATTGTTGAGGTGAGTGTTTTCAAGGATAATATTTCATAATTAATTAATAAATTTTACTCAAGGTAATAAAATTATATTTGTTTGTAATTTTTTAGAATATATTTTCTGAAATTTTTAGGTTACCACAACCAAAGTTTAAATATATATATTATCATTCACTTTTGACTGAAATATGCAAAAGTATGCATGAATCATTTCCACCTGTGATATCCTTATTTTCTGTTGATTGTTTGAAACCATTATTTATTATTATTATTGTAATAATAAATTTTTTTTGAAAAAAAATGATGCAATTGTAAACTCATAAAATTATAAGATAGTTTATTCTTGACTTTTTTATTATTATTTTAATGGCAATTTTTTACCTTGGAAAAGCAATAGGAATTTTATTTAGGCGTCTTGATATCATGGATGTTGAATGTTGTTATAGATTTTGGAATTGGTTTGCACATCATTTGAGTAATTTTGGGTTCTTATGGAATTGGAAAGATTGGTATGTATTTGAAATTTTATTTCATTGTTTGTTTTTTTTATTGCTTGAATAATATGTTTCTTTAATAAAAATCCATCACTTTTTGATACCAGGGAAAATAATTTAATGTTAGACCCATTACATCCAAAAGTATGTTTTATGCGTGAAACATTAGAAAAAACAATAAGATATAGTTATTATGAAAGAATAAGTTCTACTATTCCAGAAGAACTTATGGTGATATTTCCAAAATCAGAACCATCAACAAATTTTCGTTACGAGAATCCTGGTATTTTTTTTTTAATTGAATAAATAACATACTCACATATATATCTTGTTCTTAACCTTTATTTTGATTATTTTTGTAGAGGATCCTTTACATACTGCAGCTACAAATTTAATAAGTAAACTCCGAACAAAATCTTCTAATAGTGAGGTTTTAAATTTTTTAGAGGAATTGCATAAAGATTTTCCATCATTAGAATTAGATCAAGATACCAAAATACGTGATTTATTCATACAATGTGTTTTGATGTTGGGAAGTAAAAGTTTTAGCCATGTTTTAAATGTTATTGAAAGGTAAACAATCTATCTATATATCCATTACATCTTTATATCTTTATATAATAATTTTTAATTATCATCTTGATATCAATAGGTACTTGACAATTTTACAATCATTGAATGAAACTTTTGAAGCAAAATTGCACACTGTTAAAATAGTTGCAGATTTCTGGGCTAATAATACACAAGTAATATTTGAAGATTTTTTATTTTACATAAAAATATAAAATTAATTGAATTTCATGATTAATTAGTTTTTAGGGATATTACTTGATAAACTGTTAAATTATCGAGTAATTGATGCCATCTCCATAATATCCTGGTTGTTTGCAGATGAGATGGAAAAAGACATTGCCAGGCAAGTTGAATAAATAAATATTGTATTCATATTGTATTCATATTATATTCCCATTAAAACAATGGGTTTATAAAATTAATTTTTCTTTACTTTTTTAGATCCTATGTATGGGAAATTATGAAAAATATCATTAATAAAGTAATTTCAAGGGTTAATCAGGTAACTGCAAAATTGGAAATTTTACAAAATCCACATGCTGATGATAGTAAAATTCAAGGAATTGATATAACTTCAGAAGGTATTTAAAATATAAATTATATCATTTGTCATCAAATGGTTTAATATGATGGATTGCTCTGTATATTTATTGTATTACAATACACTTTTTTAGTAATTGGAGAAAATAGTGATGAAAAACATAATTTGGAAAATACTTTAAATGTTGTAAAAAAAGAACAAAAAGAAGTTTTAATAAAAATGGTTCAAATGTTTGCTTCATTGCTTGAAAAAAAACTAAATTTTTATAAACAACAAGGGATTCAAAATCCTTTATCACAGCTATGGTTCTGGTGGGCTTTTGGATTATTCAAAGAGATTGGACGATTGGTAAAATTTCTAAATTTATCTATTTTATGATAAAGTTTATAAATTATTAATTAATTTTTTTTTAGTATGAACCACAATTATCTACATTCATGGTTACATTGGAAAACATTGTGATCACACCAAATACTGATCCAAATATTTTAAGTGTATTTGAAATTGTAAAAGCAATAGGACACATGAGAAATTTGGTGGTTTCTGAAGACATCTCCTAACAATTGTAGCTTATTGATTGGTTAAATAAGGTATGAATTTAAGATTTTTTAATATTTATGTCAAGATATTGATTTTTTTTAAAGTTGATAATAAAACAAATTTGTAGTAGAGTAATTGTTTACTATTCAATTTTAAATTTTAAAAGGCGATAATAGTATACAAGCACACATACAATAAAATTTTGAGCAAATTTCAACATTTTTTTATTAGCTTTATAACTTCAAATTAAATATATTGATAAACCATCCCAAAAACAGGCTTACTATAGAAAAATTATAAATATAAAAGCCATCTTTATTGGGGTTAGTCACAGCAGTTGATTATCAAAATTAAATAACAATTAAACTCAAACTTTGATAAACTGATCCTGTTAAACTGAGGCACTTATAATAGATTTCCCCCAATAAACCAAATTTACCTGGATGAATTGCCTTTTGTAATCTAAAGGAGGAGGTGTTAACACTAAAATAGATAAATCTTTAATCTCTTCGAAAATATCTGCTTTCTTGGTTTTTAATAAATTGAATTCAGTAAAGGTTCATTAGCAATCTCCTGAGCTTTAACTACACCAAGATTAGATGCTTCAAAAAGAAAATGTTGTGTATACTTGGTAATCAATTCCCAAAATAGCTTTAATATCTTAGTATATATTGAAAACATTTTCCACCTTCATAACATTGAGCTTTATTTAACCCAACTGTTCTAGAAACATTTCCGATTAAAAATACTAATGATTTTATAAGTGTGATAATTTTGATGTAATTTACATTACATGTGCGAAACCAAACATTTGTGATGAATTCGGGACAAAATTCAACCAATTTCTTAGGTGAAAAGTATAATTAGTGACATTAACTTTATTTATAATATTTATAATAATTAAAGATTTAAATTTTAAATACTGAAAATCAAAACTTTACGATGCAAAATTAGTTTTAACATCCTCCTCTGTCTTGAAAAGATACCAGGCCGTTCCAATCGGTGTAAGCTGGCCACCAGGAAAATGAGCATGGTAGGGATGTAAAGTCTGATAGCTCGACGTACACTCGCCTGCCTGTTTATTAATAAATCCAATTTTTGTTTTTTTAAAAAAAAGGAAATAAAATAAACCTGATAACGCAGATTCAATTGTTACTTTATTGTTGCGTTTTAATTCCAAAGCAACGTTTGGTTTATTGAGTGTATTTTCAATCTAATATCAATTATTAATAATGAATTAACATTTGTTCGTTTGTTCATAAATGCATCCTAGCTAATTGATTACCTGGTAAACATAATTTTCAAGTTCTTGTTTAGCTTCAACACGTTCTTGACTTTGTTTATCTTCTTCTTTGAGTTTCTTAGATTCAGCAATCATATGTTTGATTTCAGTTGCTGATTATCTACCCGCAGAATTTGAAATAGTAATATTTGCTTTATGACCAGTTGCTTTATCT